AGTTTATTTTTATTATCCCTTCATTTGAACCACTCAGTCTAGTTATTTGTAAGAGTAGCGTTTGTCTTGTTGCAATGAACAAAGCAATTTTTCCTGAAGTGGAATATCCGATTGCCGCGACTGTACATAGTAAACCGTAAAATACTAATTAAATTGCATCGTCATTTCCTTTTTATTGTGCACGGGTAACCTATATTTCGGTCAATACTTTTTCATACTTTGACTACTATAATGTAATTGTACACCAAATATGGCATGTCTGTTTACATCATATACTAAGTTAGTCATAAATCAAATAATTCAACAAACATTTTGATAACGTGTTCCAAATATTTGTGATATAATGTAATATGGCATTACCCATTAATAGATGGTTTTATTTAAACAGTAATAATTATCACATTACTAGATTTCGTACGCGTGGAATTAAAAAAAAAAAACAGAAGTAGCATATGTGTCTTTCCAGAATATTCTCTACATCTATGCCCAATTACATAGAGATCCATTCAGCAGTCAGGCTTCAAACTCTAACATACATCTATCCATCTAAACTATAGCATTTATATGATTAGTAAGATTTTAAATACAGTCTAGTCACTTTAATTTGTTTATCTCGTTGATTATACCTACCTTTTTTTTGGTATCGGCAAGGGGGTCTTCAAAAAGACTTATATAGAATCTATTTATGTGAAAAATCCTTATTCAGTAATATTTCGTTCAACAATGACTTGTATTTGCTCATTTTATTACAAACTAGCTGTTGCCCACGACTTCGTCCGCGTGGTATTAGAAAACAGACGAACTATGTAAATAATGTGTCCCTTGGGAACCAGACATTTTTCGGGGATGAACCTTATCCCATGTGTACTCCAGACTTTGTTTTATATCTGTACCAAACTTCAATAACATATTTTGAACCGTTGCAGAATTATCGAGTGAACATCAAAATACGAAATTAATGCATCCCACGGGAACCGTAACTATTTCCGGGATAAAAATTAGCCTATGTGTTCTTCCAGACTATTCTCTACATCTGTACCAAATTCCATCAAAATATGTTCAGCCGTTTAGGCTACAAACTCTAACAAACATCCATCCATCCATCTAAACTTTTGCATTTATAATATTAGTATGATGAACATTGAAAACCTTATGCCCTTTGTTTTAAAGGAAATAAGAAAAGAAGTTACGCAAAACAAACTGGCTATTTTAATATATACGGTCACCGTCGGGGTACCGTTATCTATGTAGTTTGAAACCAGGTACAAATTTTTATCATCGAAGTAGATAACTCGTTTATAACTACCAGAATATTTCCTTTGATTGTGTAATACGTATGGTGTATTCGAATTTTAAATGCTACCAGTTCCTATGCTTCAAAATATGTTTGTTTTGATTAATTAGTATACATATGTGTGGTATTAAGAACCTTGACTACGTTTATCAATTTAAACTCTGTGTTGCCATTATAAAATAAACCACCAACGCATTGTTAATTGATAACGTAATAGATAAAAAATAAAGTGTCATTTATTTTCCACCAAAAATACAATTATCTCGTTCATATCCGGCATTCGAATTGTTTACGTATTTTAAAGTAGACAACATACATACACATTGGTGTAATAAAATTATCACAAGCTGAAACTCTAAACGTGAGTTACCACAGCCCCAACATACTTATAAAGTATATCGTTGTCTCATGATTTTTTAGAATAACGAAGGAGTCGACGATATGTATTTAAACGAGTGGTTAGGCCGTGCAAATCCACGATAAAGAGATGCACTTCGTATGACGTGTTTACAATACCGTTATCAACGATGTATTCGCTCTACTATGTTGATAAATCGTCACTTTTGCGTTGAATATTTAATGCCAATATTATTTATTATTAATAATAATGGCATGGGACGATTAGGAAGAGAAAATATCCACTTTCTGTTCATTCCTTCCCTTGTGGATTAAAAAAAGGCAACGTACCTGCTAATGCAAATGTACTTGAGCAACACATCGATCACTTATTTGCTATTAAAAAACTATTTTAATGTATAAACATGATCTCGAAGCGATTTAGCGGAATTTAATGTGTTATATTGTTGATGCTTGATTCAAAAGACGGTTTAATATTTTTGTTTCATAAATAAGTACTCGTACCGTTATCTGAGTGGTCTAGACATTGGTAACAAATTTTATATTGGCTCGGTTTAACCGCTGACGGTTTTAATCCTGATATGCTTATGAGATTTTTTTCTATATTAATAGATCTGTGCATGTATACGACCTACTAATTTATGTTGTGTTTATTGCTTTTTAAGGGCATTTGAAATCAGATTACGTTAAAAAATACATTATTTTGGTCTTTAAATGTCGCCTTAAATTAATATGCCTGTTTTCCTTGGACTGCTCGTTACTTTGTTTTTAAGTATTTTAAATATCTTTTTAATGGGTTTATGTAAACATATCTATACTATTATAATAAAGTGTAAACACACACTTTTTGTTGCCTACGATGTCAGCAATTATAGCATATTTTTGAATAATTGTTTTTTTAATAAAAAGCTCTACACTTACGTCATACTTTAGGCTATAACACATGTAAACAACGACATAAAATTCATCATTTTATACGAATGAAGTCGCACGGGATCAGCTATTTCCTTATAATTATTCTTCTCATTCTTATGGCTAAGAAAGTCAATTCAAGGCAATGTAAATAGTCGGTTATTGCCTTGCATGACATTTAAAGATATTATTAATACTTAAGTTAATCACCTCTTGGTATCGGAATGCTCTTGTCAGATATTTATTGTGATTAATATTAAACCGGTTTTATTAATTTAGGTACATCATCCAAGAAACCAACGAAACAGCATTTTTAGAAAGTTTTATAAATTGCCTATATTTTATCGTATGCAGTTTGATGTGCGTGTAAAAATTAATGCCGGTTTTCTTATTAGCTGGATTTCAAGCTGTGATGGATTTTACGATAGAATAGTTGATTTTAAAATATTGTTTAATATGAAGACAGCAGTTCTCTGTCCTTCTCTGTCCCTCCTTTTAAAAAATAATCATACAACTTATTTAAGCCAGTAACAACACAAGTTTTATCCCAGTAAATTAGACTTTATTAAGCAATTTAAGCCATTACGTAACAATAAAGGTTATATAATGGTCACTGTCTCGTATTAATAATTGGACGTAATGTTTTCATTGCTTGGTTCCGCCCAGTCTCTGACTTATCTTTCTAAATGATAATTTCTTATTGTATCTCTCAATAACTTGTACATATAGTAATTATATAGGAAAGATATAGATGGAATGCGTAAAATTGACATGATCAAGGGAGTGATGAGTGAGATGACGGATGATAAGTTATTTGGAGGACAAAAACGCGGTGCGTCGACCCTACGGTTGTAGCTATTTATTGGTAAAAAAAAATTGAAATCGGCCCAGTAGTTTTTGAGTTATTTCAATATAAATACAAATCTTTCCTCTTTATACTATTAGTATAGATTGTCTGGCTGCAATTATTATAGACATGCACCTGTAATATTTAGTTTAGATTACCTTATTTCCTTATTGACTGGTTTTGTCTGGCATTATTGAAATTTGTGTCTAAAAGTCCCTGAAACCTCAAAACGAATATTACGTATAAACAATTATTTTCCTCCTTTATTTCGCAGTATTAAACCGCGTGATTTGTATATTCGAAACGATCGACGTCATGGCGCCGAGTTCAGTAGCCCCTTTAATTAATATGGAAGGTCTCGTCAGTCCGGTTGTTTTTGTGCTGCCAACACTGTCCTATACGATGGCAAAATAAGAAATGATGTAATTGAACTAAGTACTTGTATTACATGAGAATTTTTATTTTATTTTTAAAGGCTAACGAACAAGTTATCCGTTTCACCAAAATTGGTGAAGTGATAATTCCCAATATATTCAACAAGTTAAAAGGCAGCAGATGCGTTCCTACCTTTGAAGTGGGCGTAGAGAAAGAATTGGCATGTACATGTAAACTTTGCCAAAATCTTGTGATTGAAAGTGACTCTACGTATAGTCTCCCAAGTTATTGTTACGTCATATTGATATTAAGATTTATTATCCGATGTATAATCACTTTATCTGACCTCTAGGTCTCAACATGAGATTGAACGGAAACGTACTATCGGGGAATCTGACTGTGTTCAACCATAAAAGCTACAGTCGTTTGAACGTACGACGATTCTACGACTTGAGGCAACGCGAAACAATAACCAATAGGCAAACCCTTTTAATGTGTTTGTACGAAAAAAATCGATAACGTACAGGGCTAACTGCTTTATTATTCCATTCCGTTGTTTGAGCTTCTACCTAATTGGTTGGTTATAAGCCGAGACGGAATATGAAAGCAATCCATCGAGAAGTTGCCTGATTGTACAAAGCACGACGTATATCTAATGACGTATTTCACCTTTGATGAACTAATCTCACGTCGTAAAACAAATACTATAGAATTAACTGGCAGAATAACACTCGAGTTAATGAATATTAGTAAGATACAAAAATGTATGTCAAATTCAGATTATTTTTATCTATATAAGTTTCAAAGTTCAAGTGTCATTGCTGAACTGATTTATTACTAAAATTAATTACTGTATAATGATTGCAAACAAGTACAATATTAACATTTCTAGGTATTTATTGTCTTAATTGTACAATCTAGTCAATCAGAACTCAATATAGGACCAGCTGTTATTCTAGATATTTGTTCAGATATTTATAAAGAACATATGTACATAATTTCTAACATGGCGATACATCTATCTACTGTTTATTCTAAAGCCTTTCATTTTTTATTTATCAGCGCCACCTGGTGTCATGAACAGAATATCGTAACAATGAACTGTGTTATCATCAAAAATATAATCAACCTTTTTCGCAACACGCGTGGTATTGCTGTTTGAGATAAGAGCATCTGGTATCAGTCGGCCGTGGATAATGTAGTCAGATGGTCTATTTTATAGTTGTGTAAGTTAACTATCGAATATGTTGGTGAACGGCGACCGTATATCTTACCAGTGCCCTGTAGTCGGTAACTACGAGGATATGCAATGGATGGGACAATGCCCGATGGCAAGTCAGTGGTCGAAACCGGAGACCATGTGTAGTTACGTGTACGGCTATAACGAACCTTACTTTAAGTTACCTAACCAGCGTATTAATGATTATGCGTGTGATTATGTATATTATGGTGGTCAAGTGCAAGCAGTGTACCCACCACAGACATTGAATTTACCCTGTCAGGGGCAGCAATGGGACTACAGTACGATGTGTTATGACGTGGATGGACAACCCTGTCAGTATACAAATGTTGTTGATCTGGAGGATTTTATGTAAGTGTACGCATTGATTTTATGACCGATAGAAATCTCACACATTCTCTTAGAAAACAGACCGATACATGTCAATTTAATTTTCACTGCAGCAAAGCCCACAGTTTCTAACTTCACTGAACTTTGATCAGGTGTAGAATATAATCTAAAATAACTGAAAATTGAACTAAACTTTACCCGGACAAGCCGTTTTAGTGTAATGTTAAGGTTCTGAAACACGTTGTGATAACATAATTGAAACAAAATCGATAAGACAAACGACCTCAGATGCCCTTAAAATACTCTGTAGCATCTGTCAAAATTAGGAAGTTTAATCATAATGGTTCTAAATTGCATCAAGGACCCAATTTCAAAATATGCAGTAAAAGATGGCAATCGAGCAAGCGCCCATTTGGATTCGTTAAAAAAGCGAAGGACCTTTGCCATACACATCTGAGTTTGCAGATCTTTTGTTTATTTTGTCCGGCAAGCGAGTCGATGTACAATAATATTTCTTCTTCCTATGCGTGTTTTTAAGCCAAAATTCACACCTCTTTCCTATCCCTTATCAAAAAAGTGGGATACAAATTAAGCCTCCAAGAAACACAATCACACGAAATATGGGATTTCTTCCACTTTAAGCCTATCTTTTGTGGTATACCAAATTTTGTATATCGCTTGTCGTTTCTTTAATTATTTGACAAACGATTTTAATGATAAACTATGTATCATAAGTAGGTGATTCAGTTACAGTTCACCGTAGCGAGTAAAATCGCGAGATCCAGCTAGTTAAATTCTTAGAAAAAGTCGTTAATAATAAGATGTTTGTTAAATACACTCATATTTTTAAAACGTTGTTAAGTTAAAGTAGCTATATTTGATTACATTAGTATTAAATTTAACGCTTCGCTGACGCAAAACAATGTTGCTCGCGTAAAATATACGAAAACTTTATTTATAAAGACTTTATTCTTGAACCCATTTTATAACTTGCATATTTATCATTCATTCAATTATTTTCAAAGATTTAAAAAAATTATGATAGCGAAAAAAAAATTGTGTACCGTCTTTTTTATTGGATTAATTAAGATAAGGTCATTAATTTTTATCTTTACTTGTTTGTCTGACTGTACTTGTATGCTTTGATGAGACATCCGCGGTTACACAACTTGTATAACTTGTAGTAGGCAAAAGCGTTTCTACTCGTAATAACCAACTCTACCTGCAAGGATATTTTACAGATGAATTGTATTCTTTTATGGAAAAACGGAAAGGGATGGGAACTTTTTAATGCATGTAATGTTGTAGAAATTATACTTCATACTTATATTATAAATGCGAAAGTTTAGATGGATCGATGGATATTTATTCCATTTCAATATGATACCCATACATGACGACATTGATAACGACGACATATTCAGAGGTGGAGGATTAGACCGGCCCTCACACCAGTACCGGTTTACCGTGTAGCCTAGGACTCCCCCAATATTTGATAGAGTTTGTACCCTAAACGGTTTTGATGATTGGTTCAGATGTAGAGGATAGTCTGGAAGAACACATAGGATACTCACTTTTGTTTTATTTTTAATAAACGCGGACGGAGTCGCGGGCAAATGCTAGTAGTATACTGAAGGGTTAATAAATTGACTTGGCCCCGGTCGGTTTTATCTGAACGTGACTATATTATCAGACGTACTGTTATGAAAATATTATTTTATCAATAATCTTTGCACGGTAGCTATATGTATGAGATAAATTTAAAAGACATGATATATGTAGACGCATCTAAATACGGACAGATAAAATTGGCTTTTATGTTAAGCTAAGCTCTTTACATATCTACTTGTCTTGATACACCGTGTACGAGTAAATATAGATAATACTAGCGAACCGCCCCAGCTTCGCTTGGCAATGTATATATGTAAATATTTTCTGTCATATCCCTACCCTAACCGTTGATATTAAATGTAGATAACCAGTTTTCGCTTGCGACTCCGTCCGCATGAAATTAAAAAAAAAACAAATGTGTCCTTCCAGACAATCCTCTAACATCTATGACAAAATTTGTCCAGAACCATTTAGCCGTTTAGGGTACAAATTATAACAAACATCCATCTCAACGTTCACATTTATAATATTAATAAGATTTTTTTTTTGCTTTGCTTTATTAAAACAATAAGTCCGCCCTTGCGCAATTCTTGTCTTAGCTTAGTTTAAATAATATATTGTAATTATTGTGCAAAAGAATTAAATGAGAAAAAAAATAGAAAAATGTTAATCAGATCTTTTTAGCCTATCTGCGGTTTACCATCTCTGTTAACTCTGTATACTCGTATGTTTCCATGTTTATCCCGCAAAAAGAGATATATTTTAATCACAATTGTCGCAATGTGTGATGAGAATTGTGTATTCTTTTTGTGACAATTTTTGTCTATTCATCAATACGATGTAATTTTATTTGTCTCTTTTTGTGACCTCGAGTGTAGTACGCATTATGTGTATGTATGACATCTTCATTTTTAATAGTAATTGATGCCAGTTATTTTTATTATTAATTTGCAAATTGATATATATGCTGCGATTGCTAACATCCTACGCCACAAAGTAGTGTGTTTATAAGCTTTATTTGATTTTGAGATTTGATATTAAAATTTCAAGTTGTGGTGCAAAAATTGTATGTAATAGTTGTGATGTTTCCATGAGTATTTTATCTTAAGACTATTATCCTTGACTTCCCTTAGACTTGAACTGACAAAAGCAATGAAGATAAATTTGTTTCTAACTCGCGAATGATTACAATCTCTTGTCACTATGTGATTTATCTTTGATCATGTTACAACAATGTTGTTATTACGAAATGAAGATTATAAAGCATCCGATAGCACTTTGACTAAGCGTCTACCATGTTACAGTTGAAAACACGATAATTTTTTGATGGTTCTATATCTTAATTACTTGATTGGAATTTTGCCTAATGTGTGCAAAACAATTCTGGCACAATCTATTGACTTATTTGTTTAGTTTGTTTAGCTATAGACTAAAAGCGTGTGTCAGAAACTAAAAACCTATTCTTTGCGGGCTATATTAAAAATCCATAATCCATAATCCAAATTCATCAATATTAAACTTATCACATACTTTGTTATATGACAGTAAATTAACGGATGGCTCTTGTCTCATGAATGTACATTCTATAGCAGAAAGGCTCACATCGTTTTGTAAAATGTTCCACATTCTCTTAATTGTTTTATGCATCTTTACATTAATTATTTGGACCTTTGCCAGCCCCATTTATCAGCTGATCGGGACCACGTGAGGTTTCCAGTAACCTTGTGTTTAACAGCACTTGACTGTTTTATTTCTGTAGTCTGGGAAGTGATTCTATTCACAGTTGAGTGAGTCATACCAAATACAAAGTAATGTGGGAATACCATCCTCAACCACTTCCTTAAATGTCTCTTTTAGATGGCATTAAAATTGTTATTATTTAGTAATGCACACAAGTTTGATAACTTCGTACCGTTTCTACAGTATGAATAAATCTTAAATTCTTACGTGTTATATCAATTATACACATTACTCTCTTTCCTTTTACTTAGAAGTGTTCGATCTTCTCGTTCGAGATTTTCAATCCACCGTCTCTTGTACCATCCTCGTTACCTCCTGATACTACACGACCACCATCTTTTTATCAGTTTGTACATATTAGTTGTGACGTATCATATATCTCTGTTCTATCTTTAATATTGATCATTTATTTTAGCACTTTCTGACTTGTAACCTTTTCTACTCAACTGACATTCCCAGCATTTGTCAACATATCTCAATCCTTTCTCTGCCGTTTTCTGTGCGAGACTTTTATTACTAATGAAGAAAAAATCACTTAATTAGACTTAATGTTTTAATAATGATAATCGTTTATTTACTAAGAATAAGAAATGTATGCAAGTGCATACAATAATACTGATAACCTCGCTTCGGCGCGACTTAATGATAACTTAAGTATTACGTTATCGTCTCCAGTTAATTGGTATGTATATGATTGCTATAATTATTGAATATGTTTGTAACTCGTATGTTATATAATCATGCTCTTGTAATGTAGAATTTTAGAAAATGATTAATCACTACCGCTTACTGTAAATAGTATGAGGTGCAGGATAGATTTAGCGGAGGAGGGGACACAGGAAGGGAAGATATCCTCATTCTGTTCGTCCCCTCCATCAATTAAAGCTACCGACAAGCTGTGTCATATTTCTAGCAAAATTAATATCCCTGTTTTAATTATAAAGAAGTTGGATTTCTATTACAAAGGCAAAATTTATTTGACAAAATAAATTCATCTGAAATTGTTTCTCTTTGCGACTTTATGCTGACAGTTTTGAAAAATTTAGACCGTCGAGGACGTATCTGATATCCTTGTTTGACTATACTTCGTTTATTATTACTTTCCTTATGTTATACTCTATCATCAGGCTATGTATTTTGTTATTGTTCAAATAAATTGTGTGTTTTTAGAACATGTGAAAAATCTATTAATAACTAGCCCGATGCCCGCGACTTAGCCCGCGTGAAATTAAAAGATAATACAAAATATAGCATATGGTTCTTACAGATAAATTAACTTTTTAACGGTGAAATGATTTATAAAATTCGCCCTTATAATATTAGTATAGATAGACATAGAATTTTGGCTAACTACATTCGAGTCTACAGTCGAAATTATATTTTGAACCACTGTCCGAATCGGTCACTATCAATGATAACGTCAAAGATAACTTATCAGCCACAAGTGAAAATGTTATTGGATTGTTGTGATTGGGATTTGGTTTTAGGCTATAAATTCTAGAAGTCATGTTGATATGCAAACTTGCAACTATGAAGTCTGATACCTGAAACGCCTTTATTAAAACATTGATACCACTTATATATCTATCTATACCTATACTTCTATACTAATATAATAAAGCGTAAACACACTTCTTAGTTATGTAAAATGTCAGAAATCACAGTATATT